AAATTTAATTTTTTTGGGGATAACCAGCTTAAGTTAGAGAGTCCTCTGCGCGGTAGGTTTCCCACAGTGGTGCCGATTGCGTTAAGCGCGTATGCAAAGTCCCATAATTAAGAAAATAGTATACCTAATCAAACGTAAAAAATTAGGTATGAAGAACATGACAGGATTCTTCCGAATTCGCGAAACTTCCGAACTCGCGACGGTATTTTGTTCCAAGTTGCGTTGCGGGCACAACGCGAGACAAGTAAATGTGTGGTAAATGTTTAACTGAGCAACTGAAGTTCTGCGACAAGCCTGGCTAAAACTGTACATCGAATAAAGGCAGGTTTGCCTTTTTCTGGTTAAAAAAAAGATCGATGGTCTACCGCGATCAGACACTTATTTTCGTGAAAACATTTTATTCTACTGTCTACAACTATTGTGGTGCTTCTTTACATTTAGAACCTATTTAGATGTTATTGCCTTGCAACAATATTTCCCAGCATTTTCCCCTATCTCAAAATAATTTGTAATCTAAAAAATATCTTGAGGAGTGAAAATACTCGATCATTTTCCATTCTCTTATCTACAAACACCCAACAATAATATTCTGTACCCTAGCTTTTTTCAATTTCTTTAAAGAGAGCAAAGCAATGTATTGCTTTTAAAGTTGAAAAGAATTTATTGTCCATAAAAATAAACTTAAAACACTGCCAACGTCCAATAAACGATTAAAACATAAAACTTTTAGTCTTTAAAAAGTAATTTATGATTGAAAGAGACATCACATTTTTAAGCTTTGTTGTTGTTAACATCTAATAGCTATTATTTTTCTGGTGGTTCAGAATACACCTTAATTCGAATTCATATTTTCATGCTGTAACACAGACTCTAACGGTATATATAGAATAACTCACATTTGATAAGACGGGTTCGACAAGCAAGGTTGACGAAGTTATGTGCGATTGTCTTTCAAGAGGTTTCGTTTAGTTTGGGAACCTCACTCAAAGTTATAATTTTAGTTTAACCCTCATCCGAGGGCTATAACTAAAGGTTAAAACCGAGCTGTACATTTTACACACATCAAAAGCAAGAGATATAAATACGCAGACACAAGTAAAATATGAGAAAAGCTTTAAGATATGAATTTTGAATGAAAGAGGAAAACATTTAAAACTAATTCATTTCGGCATTGCCAACTTACTCATCGCTTCTTTTAGCGAGACTCGAACAAAAAGTGTGTCAAGAACCGAATGTGTGGATGTTGCCGTGCGTCTGTTCCGTTTTTGATTACAGATGAAGTAAAAATGCAGTCAGCACTGACAAAACAGTGGCACACAAAGTGTGTTTGAAATCTTTTGTTTGTGTCGTCATTAGATTACACATACATAATTGGTATATAATTAAGCTTATTAAATAAGACAAGATGGGTAATCTGAATCAAACAGATACAAAATCAGTTTTGGGAGTATCATATTTCCTCATATACTCCTTCATTTTGTTTCCCGCCATTTTTCTTCTGAAGCACAGTATTGTAATATCCGGGGTTCTCAGGTTTTTCCTGTAACGACTGATACTCAGAAGGAACACGAGATTCCTGGTTTGAAGGCCTGGGTTTGAGTTCCATATATGTGTTTGAGCCTGAAGCTTGTTCGTTACTTGACTGTTGATCAGGTGAAGATTTCACGCCGTCAAAGTCAATTTCTTCTTTGCTCTGTATTCTTTTATTAAGAACAGCTCGTCTTCTCTGCCATACCAGCCCACAAATTATAAGGAGCAACACGAACACAATACAAGACAATGGGATGACACTGGCAAGGAAGATGCTCTGCATATCTAGCAAAACAAAAGCAAATAATTTTCGAACCAGTCATCAATCACAAAAAACTGCTTCGTTACTTAGTTTCAATGCATTGATGCTTTTTTTTTTTTTTTTATCCAAGAAACAACAATACAATTTGAAACTTTCTTTTGCGTCGTCTCTTGGTCTTACTTCATTGTATGCCGGACATTTCGAACTCCTATCAACTCGAGTTGATAAAGTTATCAAGTCACTTGTATGACCTCTAGAAATTTCAAACCAAACTGATAAGGAAAACAGAGATATTTTAGCCTTGAGCCCTCTCAACATTGGTGCATATAACTCTGTTTTGATTTAGTTTCAACCTGACAGACCAATTTTAACATACGGAATGATCGACCTGCATCTTACACTAAACCAATTTTCTAACTGAAGAAAGAAAATTTAACTTCACGCTGAACAACTTCGGTGTATGAGATCACTACATTATGTTGCTTTTGATACATACACATACCTGTATTTAAAAAACTACCTGAATAGCTGTAATTAGAAGCGTAAAAACTCCAAATCAGAATAGAAAGTTCTAAGCTCTTAAAACTTTTTTGAACGAAAAATTTTATCACGTCCGAAATGTGAGAAAAAATATCTACCTTCACTATCGAGTAGGGTAATTTCATATAATGTTGAGCCAAAGGCGTTTGTAACATGACAAACATACTCCCCATAATCTTCTCCAACCTGTGGCGTGACAATGAGGCTGTTATTCATCAATTTGATGTTATCACTAGTTGGAAGTTGGCCATCCTTTGTCCAGGAGTAGTTAAACGGAATATAACTTGTTGCTTGACATGAGAGAAAACATGGACTTTGCTTTTGACATATCACCGTGGAGGGGGATAATTCTTTGATAATTCTTGGTGGTACTGTGTGAGAAAAACGAAAAACGTAATGATACAAAAAAACATTGAACAAAAACATGCTCATGCCAACGGACTAGGGTTGAAACAAATATGTGAGGACACTAACATGATGTACTTTTGGTTTGCGTGCTGAGCGGTGGTTTGTTTAGTTGTTACTGGTGTTGTCTCTTTGTTTTCCACCTTTAATTAAGAACTTGTTATATTTGGTTAGTACTCAGTACATAGACTAATTCGTCCATGACTTGTTAACAAGTGGCTGGAGTAAGATTATGATAATAATGATAATAGTAATGACAATCACAAAGAATATATGAAAGACATATATCTGAACTGCGGTTATGAAACGTATAGTGAGAATCAGACCTGAAAAAATTCAGGCGTGTACGGGATGTGCAGCGCTCTACCAATTGAGCTAACAAGCCAACTGGGAGCAGGCCATCAAATTAATTCGACATAAGCCCGTAAGATGATAAATCAAACACAAAGAATATATGAAAGACATATATCTGAACTGCGGTTGTGAAACATATATGTGCACGATCCTCGCAGTAAAGCGCCAATTAAGCAATAGTTTAAGCAATAGTTATAAGCAATAGTTTAAGCAATTAGTTTAATTTCATGGCCTGCTCCCAGTTGGCTTGTTGGCTCAATTGGTAGAGCGCTGCACTAGTATCGCAGGGATAAGTGGTTCGAATCCCGTACAGGCCTGAATTTTTTCAGGTCTGATTCTCACTATTGCTTAAATAGTGCTTTACTGCGAGGATCGCACACATATAAATAATGACAATTATAATAATTGTTAAAAATCGAGTTTCCAGATGGGATTTGAACCCACGACCCTCCGTGATCTAGTCGGATGCTCTAACCACTGAGCTACAGGAGACTCTATGGTGAGCAAGGGTCAATTAGTGGGTATTGACTGGAACCGCATCACGCGGCTACACAGCCAAACATCAGCTAGCGCATAGAAGCTCACTAACAGCATCACGCTGTCACATTAAAGCATCACATGCATTAAAGCATCACATGCAGCCAACCAGCCTCCAAAGTGAGCATGTAAAGATGAAATAAACAATTTTTAAAAGCAGGAGCAAACTGCACTATTTGGCTACAGGAATCCTGCAATGTCTTAAAATGTTATCCTTCGAGGGTATTTACACAACAAATTTTATTTTTTTGTCGATGAACAGCTCAAGTTAAAGAGTCTTCTGCGCGGCAGGTTTCCTACAGTGGTGCTGATTGCGTTAAGCGCGTATGCAAAGTCCCATAATTAAGAAAATAGGATACCTATTCAAACGTAAAAAATTAGGTATGAAGAACATGACGGGATGACAGTACTTCCGAATTCGCGACGGTATTTTGTTCCAAGCTGCGTTGCGGGCACAACGCAAGACAAGTATATGTGTGGTAAATGTTTAACTGAGTAACTGAAGCTCTGCGACAAGCCTGGCTAAAACTGTACATCGAATAAAGGCAGGTTTGCCTTTTTCTGGTTAAAAAAAAAAAGATGGTCTACCGCAATCACACACCTATTTTCGTGAAAACATTTTATTCTACTGTCTACAAATATTCTGCTGCTTCTTTACATTTAGAACCTATTTAGATCTTATTGCCTAGCAACAATATTTCCCAGCATTTTCTCCTGTCTCAAAATAATTTGTAATCTAAATAATATCTTGATTAGTGAAAATACTCGATCATCTTCCATTCTCTTATCTACAAATGCCCAACAATAATTTTCTGTACCCTAGCTTTTTTCAATTTCTTTAAAGAGAGCAAAGCAATGTATTGCTTTCACGGTTGAAAGAATCTATTGTGCATAAAAATAAACTGAAAACACTGCCAACGTCCAATAAACGATTAAAACATAGAACTTGTCTTTAAAAGGTAATTTATGATTGAAAGAGACATCACCTTTTTAAGCTTTGCTATTGTTTACATCTAATGGCAATTATTTTTCTGGTGGTTCAGAATACACCTTAATTCGAATTCATATTTTCATGCTGTTACACAGACTCTAGCGGTATATATATATATAGATTAACTCAAACTTGATAAGACGGGTTCGACAAGCAAGGTTGACGAAGTTATGTGCGATTGTCTTTTAAGAGGTTTCGTTTAGTTTGGGAACCTCACTCAAAGTAATAATTTTAGTTTAACCCTCATCCGAGGGCTATAACTAAAGGTTAAAATCGAGCTGTACATTTTACACACATCAAAAGCAAAAGATATAAACACACAGACACAAGTAAAATATAAGAAAAGGTTTAAGATATGAATTTTGAATGAAAGAGGAAAACATTTAAAACTAATTCATTTCGGCATTGCCAACTTACTCGTCGCTTCTTTTAGCGAGACTCGAACAAGAAGTGTGTCATAAACTGAAGTAAAGTGTGGATGTTTCCGTGCGTCTGTTCCGTTTTTGATCACAGATGAAGTAAAAATGCAGTCAGCACTGACAAAACTGTGGCACACGAAGTGTGTTTGAAGTCTTCTGTTTGTGTCTTCATTAGATTACACGTACATAATTGGTATATAATTAAGCATATTATATAAGACAGGATGGGTAATCTGAATCAAACAGATACAAAATCAGTTTTGGGAGTATCATATCTCCTCATATACTTCTTCATTTTTTTTCCCGCCATTTTTCTTCCGAAGCACAGTATTGTAATATCCGGGGTTCTCAGGTTTCTCCTGTAATGACTGATACTCAGAAGGAACACGAGATTCCTGGTTTGAAGGCCTAGGTTTCAGTTCCATATATGTGTTTGGGTCTGAAGCTTGTTCGTTACTTGACTGTTGATGAGGTGAAGATTTCACGCCGTCAAAGTCAATTTCTTCTTTGCTCTGTATTCTTTTATTAAGAACAGCTCGTCTTCTCTGCCATATCAGCCCACAAATTATAAGGAGCAACACGAACACAATACAAGACAATGGGATAACACTGGCAAGGAAGATGCTCTGCGTATCTAGTGAAACAAAAGCAAATAACTTTCGAACCAGCCATCAATCACTAAAAACTGCTTCGTTACTGAGTTTCAATGCATTGATGCTTTTGTTAGAGTAGATTCATCTTAAGGAATACGATGTTTTTTTTTATCCACGAAACATCAAAACAATTTGAAACTTTCTTTTGCGTCGTCTCTTGGTCTTACTTCATTGTATGCCGGACATTTCGAACTCCTATGAACTCGAGTTGATAAAGTTATCAAGTCAGTTGTATGACCTCTAGAAATTTCAAACCAAACTTATAAGGAAAACAGAGATATTTTAGCCTTGAGCCCTCTCAACATTGGTACAGATAACTCTGTTTTGATTTAATTTCAACCTGACAGACCAATTTTAACATACGGAATGATCGACCTGCATCGTAAACTAAAACAATTTTCTAACTGAAGAAAGAAAATTTAACTTCACACTGAACAACTTCGGTGTATGAGATCACTACATTATGTTGCTTTTGATACATACACATATCCGTTTTTAAAAAACTATCTGAATAGCTGTAATTAGAAGCGCAAAAACTCCAAATCAGAATAGAAAGTTCTAAGCTCTTAAAAGTTTTTGAACGAAAAATTTTATCACGTCCAAAATGTGAGAAAAAATATGTACCTTCACTATCGAGTAGGGTGATTTCATATGACGTTGAGCCAAAGTTGTTTGTAACGTGACAAACATACTCCCCATAATCTTCTCCAACCTGTGGCGTGACAATGAGGCTGTTATTCATCAATTTGATGTTATCACCAGTTGGAACTTGGCCATCTTTCGTCCAGGAGTAGTTAAACGGAATATAACTTGTTGCTTGACATGAAAGAAAACATGGACTTTGCTTTTGACATATCACCGTGGAGGGGGATGATTCTTTGATAATTCTTGGTGGTACTGTGTGAGAAAAACGGAAAACGTAATGATACAAAAAAACATTGAACAAAAGCATGCTCATGCCAACGGACTAGGGTTGAAACAAATATGTGAGGACACTAACATGATGTACTTTGGTTTGCGTGCTGAGCGGTGGTTTGTTTAGTTGTTACTGGTGTTGTCTCTCTGTTTTCCACCTTTAATTAAGAACTTGTTATATTTGGTTGGTACCCAGTACATAGACTAATTCGTCCATGACTTGTTAATAAGTAGCTGGAGTAAGATTATAACAATAATGATAATAATAAGAATAATGACAATCACAAAGAATATATGAAAGACATATATCTGAACTGCGGTTATGAAACGTATAGTGAGAATCAGACTTGAAAAAATTCAGGCGTGTACGGGATGTGCAGCCCTCTACCAGTTAAGCTAACAAGCCAACTGGGAGCAGGCCATCAAATTAATTCGACATAAACCCGGAAGATCATAAATCAAACACAAAGAATATATGAAAGACATATATCTGACCTGCGGTTGTGAAACATATATGTGCACGATCCTCGCAGTAAAGCGCTAATTAAGCAATAGTTTAAGCAATAGTTCAAGCAATTAGTTTAATTTGATAGCCTGCTCCCAGTTGGCTTGTTGGCTCAATTGGTAGAGCGCTGCACTAGGATCACAGAGATCAGTGGTTCGAATCCCTTACAGGCTTGAATTTTTTTCAGGTCTGATTTTCACTATTGCTTAAATAGTGCTTTACTGCGAAGGATCGTGCACATATACGTTTCATAACCGCAGTTCATATATATGTATTTCATATGTTTGTTGTTTGATTTATCATCTACGGGTTTATGTCGAATTAATTTGATGGCCTGCTCCCAGTTGGCTTGTTAGCTCAATTGGTAGAGCGCTGCACTAGTATCGCAGAGGTCAGTGGTTCGAATCCCGTACAGGCCTGAATTTTTTTCAGGTCTGATTTTCACTATTGCTTAAATAGTGCTTTACTGCGAAGGATCGTGCACATATACGTTTCATAACCGCAGTTCATATATATGTATTTCATATGTTTGTTGTTTGATTTATCATCTACGGGTTTATGTCGAATTAATTTGATGGCCTGCTCCCAGTTGGCTTGTTAGCTCAATTGGTAGAGCGCTGCACTAGTATCGCAGAGGTCAGTGGTTCGAATCCCGTACAGGCCTGAATTTTTTTCAGGTCTGATTTTCACTATTGCTTAAATAGTGCTTTACTGCGAAGGATCGTGCACATATACGTTTCATAACCGCAGTTCATATATATGTATTTCATATGTTTGTTGTTTGATTTATCATCTACGGGTTTATGTCGAATTAATTTGATGGCCTGCTCCCAGTTGGCTTGTTAGCTCAATTGGTAGAGCGCTGCACTAGTATCGCAGAGGTCAGTGGTTCGAATCCCGTACAGGCCTGAATTTTTTTCAGGTCTGATTTTCACTATTGCTTAAATAGTGCTTTACTGCGAAGGATCGTGCACATATACGTTTCATAACCGCAGTTCATATATATGTATTTCATATGTTTGTTGTTTGATTTATCATCTACGGGTTTATGTCGAATTAATTTGATGGCCTGCTCCCAGTTGGCTTGTTAGCTCAATTGGTAGAGCGCTGCACTAGTATCGCAGAGGTCAGTGGTTCGAATCCCGTACAGGCCTGAATTTTTTTCAGGTCTGATTTTCACTATTGCTTAAATAGTGCTTTACTGCGAAGGATCGTGCACATATACGTTTCATAACCGCAGTTCATATATATGTATTTCATATGTTTGTTGTTTGATTTATCATCTACGGGTTTATGTCGAATTAATTTGATGGCCTGCTCCCAGTTGGCTTGTTAGCTCAATTGGTAGAGCGCTGCACTAGTATCGCAGAGGTCAGTGGTTCGAATCCCGTACAGGCCTGAATTTTTTTCAGGTCTGATTTTCACTATTGCTTAAATAGTGCTTTACTGCGAAGGATCGTGCACATATACGTTTCATAACCGCAGTTCATATATATGTATTTCATATGTTTGTTGTTTGATTTATCATCTACGGGTTTATGTCGAATTAATTTGATGGCCTGCTCCCAGTTGGCTTGTTAGCTCAATTGGTAGAGCGCTGCACTAGTATCGCAGAGGTCAGTGGTTCGAATCCCGTACAGGCCTGAATTTTTTTCAGGTCTGATTTTCACTATTGCTTAAATAGTGCTTTACTGCGAAGGATCGTGCACATATACGTTTCATAACCGCAGTTCATATATATGTATTTCATATGTTTGTTGTTTGATTTATCATCTACGGGTTTATGTCGAATTAATTTGATGGCCTGCTCCCAGTTGGCTTGTTAGCTCAATTGGTAGAGCGCTGCACTAGTATCGCAGAGGTCAGTGGTTCGAATCCCGTACAGGCCTGAATTTTTTTCAGGTCTGATTTTCACTATTGCTTAAATAGTGCTTTACTGCGAAGGATCGTGCACATATACGTTTCATAACCGCAGTTCATATATATGTATTTCATATGTTTGTTGTTTGATTTATCATCTACGGGTTTATGTCGAATTAATTTGATGGCCTGCTCCCAGTTGGCTTGTTAGCTCAATTGGTAGAGCGCTGCACTAGTATCGCAGAGGTCAGTGGTTCGAATCCCGTACAGGCCTGAATTTTTTTCAGGTCTGATTTTCACTATTGCTTAAATAGTGCTTTACTGCGAAGGATCGTGCACATATACGTTTCATAACCGCAGTTCATATATATGTATTTCATATGTTTGTTGTTTGATTTATCATCTACGGGTTTATGTCGAATTAATTTGATGGCCTGCTCCCAGTTGGCTTGTTAGCTCAATTGGTAGAGCGCTGCACTAGTATCGCAGAGGTCAGTGGTTCGAATCCCGTACAGGCCTGAATTTTTTTCAGGTCTGATTTTCACTATTGCTTAAATAGTGCTTTACTGCGAAGGATCGTGCACATATACGTTTNCGCTTGCCGGAGATAAAAGCGTGGATCAAAATTTCAGTGTCTGATTTCGACAGACAGTTTCTTATTTTCGCTATATTACGTAAGTGATAAAACGATGATTTGCATATGTATGCGACGTGCTTCTCCAGGGAGATGTTCTGATCGAAGATAGCACCAGCATTTCGTGCATTAAAAAGAGCGCTCGACTCGATCCGTGTTTACCTTGATGTAGTCAATCGTCGTTGGAGGACGGTGTTGTGCATTCAGTACAAGGGATTCTACCTTGTCTCGGTTTAGTTTAAGTTTTTTTGTACCATCCACGAATCGATCTCGCTAAGACATGCCTCAGTGCATGATATGGAGGCTTATTGTTCACCGGGTTTGGGTTCGAAAACAAAATAAAGCTGTGTCGTCTGCGTATTAGTGATATCCCAGCCCATTACTCTTGATGATGTCGCCAAGAGGGAGTTATATAGTGCACACAGTATTGGGCCATGTACGGATCCCCAGGGCACTCCACATTGCAAGTCTTTCGTGCTGGACTTGACTCTGTCAATAACAACGCACTGTTTTGCGGACATGGAGGCAGGACTCCGACCAATTGCACAATTTTCCTTTTATTCTGAAACGTCTGGAAAGCGTAGTTAAAAAAGCAGCTTGTGATCAACCGTGTCAAACGCTATAGACACATCAAGTAGGAAGAGCACGACGCAGTTCTGGTTGTCGATAGGACAAAGAATGCCATTCTGTACTTTTAGAGGGTTGAGACTAGTCATCATTGCGACTATCGTATCGCTTAGAAAAAACTATACTTGGTTATTTGTTTTCTTTAATTCTCTAACTAAAAAAATACACTTACTCCTCTACAGATTTATTTGCCAATAGGAAATGAAAGTGTTTTTGTTACCCAGTGTTCACTGCAAATGTAACAAAGTGTCTACCCACCAGCGACAATGACTTTCGTAGCTGTGCGGCTCTCTCCAAACATGTTAACTGCTTTACATTCATAAACACCACTGTCGCCAGGAACAACATCTTTTATGATAAGTATTTTGCCGTTGTTCTCGAGCTGAGCGCGAGGTATACTCGCAACTCCATCTTTAGTCCAGGTAGCAGAGGCGTTAGTTTCCTCAGTAAACTCACAGTTCAACAATACCAGTGCGCCAATTGCTGTAATGGTTGTTTTTGGGAGACCTTTGATGAAAGGTTTACCTGAGTTTTGATAAAGATGGAGTAATTATTCCTTAACAAAGTTCAGGACACAAAGCAGCATGAAGGCTTTGCAGCCTCTCTCATCCCAACTAAAAAATAACATGAAAGCCCCTCAGTTGATGGAAACTTCAATTTTCAGAAAGACAACCAACACAGCATCGTAATCTTATATTAATAATATACTCACAGCTTAGACTACACTGAGGTAAATTTGGTTGCCTAATGCTAGATGTCTCTGACAAAAGATAAGTATACAATATATTACATACAAAACAGCAGTACCTTTAGTGTCGATGGTTACGAAGTTACTAGAGACATACACCGTCTACAAAATACAACCACAAGAGCTAAT